CAACACATGCTGTGGCTGTGGAAAATACATACATATACAGTTCATTCAGCTAATTTGAAAGTAGATAGTGCTGATTTCAATTTATTTTGATACATCTAATTAGAAATAAATGTAAAAACTATAGAGAAGTGTTATATATAAACACTTTAAAAGCTACAGGAAAACTGTGAAAAAAAGCAAATATAGAAATGAAAACTAATTCAAAGTATTATTAAAAAAAACACTTGTAACCAGTGGCTGTTTTGAGTTATCTGGGACTTTTCTAAACTTTAGGTTTAATTCTTGACGTTGTTATTTTTTCGTCTGGCAACCGAAATCTCTGTTACTAAGATTATATTTCAGTTAGTTAAAATGCAGCAGTTTTAGGGTTGCATTTACCCCTCAGTGTTTTCAAATAGAAATGTTTTTATGCGTTTCATTTACCTGACAATGGCGTTTTGGGGACCTGCAGATGCAAACCTTTGAAACGTGTTTCAAAGTGTACGATTTTTGAAAACAATCATTCATTTTCTTTTCATTTTCTTTTCCCTTTATTAATCAGGTGTCACCACAGTGGAATGAACCACCAACTTATCCAACATATGTTTTACGCAGTGGATGCCTTTATAAACTAATTTGGAGAGGGTCATGTGCCTATGATAGCTTGCAACCGGTCCCGCATTATTAAATTCATGATTCACCAATCAGACGATTCCTAAGCCACTATAAATACTCTAAGTTCCATATAACAGCCACCTTTGTTTTGAAGAATCCCCCCTTCCACCCCTACTCCTGGCACGGTGGCCCAGTGGTTAGCACTGTTGCCTCTCAGCTAGAACGTCACTGGTTCTAGTCCTTACCAAGCCAGCCGACGTTTCTGTGCAGAGTTTACACAATCTCCCCGTGCTCTAGTGGGTTTCCCCCAGGTTCCCCGGTTTCCTCCCACCCACCGTCCAAAAACATGCAACTTAAATTAATTGACTACTTCAAATTAGCACCATAGACATGCACCTAGTAGTTATCTCTTCAGAGCAATCACTATCTGTTTATTAGCTACTACATCAGGGGAGTTCTCGAGATTTACCTAAGCTAAAACTCCCCTCTCGCCTTGCAAACGGGAGGGAGCCCCAGGCTCGAGAGTCTTATGAGCTAAGGGCTCTCATTATTATTAATCATCAGCTAAGTGTGAACTCTTGAAGTAATGTATTTTGAAGAAAGCTGGAAACCTGTAACCATTGACTTTCATCGTAGTAGTTTTCCCTACTATGGAAGTCAATGGTTACAGGTTTTCACCATTTTTCGAAATATCCTCTTTTTCATTCATTGATTTTCTTTTCAGCTTATTTCCTTTATTTATCCAGGGTCGCCACAGTAGAATGAACCGCCAACTTATTAAGCACGTTTTTACGCAGCCGATGCGATATATTGATGTCGATGTGAAGTTTATTCATAAACTAATTTCGAGAGGAGCACGTGATTATGATTGAACACGGCTGGTTCTGCATTAGCATGCTTGATCCACCAATCAGGCCATTCCTAACCACTATAAAGAGCCAGGGTTTTCTCACTACAGTCATCTTCGATTTGAAGAATCCCCCCTCCCACCCCTACCTTTTCACCTTTTCCTCCATAGGGCAGCACGGTGGCTCAGTGACTAGCACTGTCGCCTCACAGCAAGAACGTCACCGGTTCTAGTTCCTTAACAGGCCGATGGTCGTTTCTGTGTGTAGTTTGCATGTTCTTCCCGTGCTTGCGTGGGTTTTCCCCGGCTTCTCCGGTTTCCTCCCACATTCAAAAAACATGTACAACAAGTTAATCGTTAAATCTAAACTTCAATACAGGTAATCTAATAATGCAGCATATCTTTTAATAGCCTTCAATCTTAATCTTTAGCTATTATAAAAAGGGGAGTTGTCGAGATCTACCTGAGCTCGAGGCTCCCCTCTCTACCTCCAAACGAGAGGGAGCCCAGGGCTCAAGAACCTTCGAGCTCAGGGCTCTCTCCCGGGACAGCATGCCAAACTTGCTTATAATCAATCATCAGTTAAGTGTGAACTCTTGAAATATTGATTAGCATGACAGGCCTAGTTTGGAACCACTTGAGGGCAAGTATATTGGGTGAATTAAGTTTCTAACATTCAATATTTTATCTTTACTTGACCTTCGTGTCTCCTGGAAGTCACGTGAAAGACGTTAAATATCTGCGATTTACAGTTTTCTGATATCAGAAACTAGTGTGCCAGTCAAAACAACCCTGATATTCCTTTGAATGGAGAGACGGATGGAAATATAAGGACAGGAAGTTTTCCAAACCGTTCTGTGTTTATTAAAGAGATCAAAAATAAGATCTTTATTCTGTTGAACACGAAAGAAGATATTTTGAAGAATGTCGGAAAGAGGCAGCCATTGACTTCCATCTTATTTCTGTTTCCTATCAATGTTTACAAGCTTCCAACATTCTTCCGAATATCTTCTTTTGCGTTCAACAATAAAATAGTGAGTAAATATTCCTTTTTGAGCCAAATGTCCCTTTAGTGCTGATCTAACAAGATTTATATCTCTCACGAATGCACTGAGTGAAGACAAAAAAAAGAGGAAACCAGTCAGAGAAAATGCAGAATTGAAGGTAGAGTCCAGTCCAGTCAGCAGAAATCAGGAAATGCATCAGTGGAGAGCGAGAGGAAGAGAGGGAGGGGAAAAAGGGGCGATTGGCTAGACGGAGGGGAGGTACGAGGGCGAGGGAGAAAGACTGACTGTCTTCAAGACGTTCAAATTCCACATATGATTAGCAGGAAACACACACACACATACACACACACACAACTCATGCGCCCTTTCCCTCTCACTTTGCATGACCATCAACACTTGTATACTGTACATCAAGTCATGGTTGTAGAGAACTGGTTTGGGTTTGAGGTCATGCTCCAAATAGGTTTACATTTGAACAGCATTAAAAGTATGTTTCAGTAACGTAAACAGTGTTATTATAGTTAAGCAAGCACCCACCAGGAAGATCACTGATGTGATTTTTATCAAGAGCAGTATCAAAAAACATGCATACGGCCATATTTGATCACTTTTAAATAATATTAATAGTAATAATATATGATTTGTATTTTGTACAGTGCCTTTAAAAGTTGCTTTCTCAAATCACTTTAACAGCAACATCACAGGACAAAGAAGCACACAAATACATGACAATACAATAGATTTACAAAAGCAGAACAGAGCCCCATGTTGGGTTCCCAGAGATGGGTTGTGGCTGGAAGGGCATCCGCTGCGTAAAAATGTGCTGGATAAGTTGGCGGTTCATTCCGCTGTGGTGACCCCGGATTAATAAAGGGACTAAGCCGGCAAGAAAATGAATGAATGAATGAATGAAAGCAGAACAAACCTGCTTTTTTATTATTTTTATATATATAAATTTAGACTTTTTTTGACCTGTTTGGTTTGTCCAAGTTTGACTCAGTGTTTGGGTGAAACAATTTAACAGTTTCCTTTATTGGAGTAAAAAAGCTTTGAGACAATGTTTTTGTGTGTGTTTTTCCATATACAGTTGAAGTCAGATCTATTAGCCCCCCTTTGAATTTTTTTTCTTTTTAAAATATTTCCTAAATGATGTTTAACAGAGCAAGGAAATCGTCACGGTATGTCTGATAATATTTTTTTCTTCTGGAGAAAGTCTTATTTGTTTTATTTCTGCTAGATTGAAAGTTTAAGTTTTTTTTATTCGGCTAGAATGAAAGAAGTTTTTTTTTTTTTTTTAACTATTTTAAAGTCAAAATTATTAGCCCCTTTAAGCTATATATATTTAAATAGTCTACCCTAACATGATAGAATTACCCTAACCTGCCTAGTTACCCTAATTAACCTAGTTAAGCCTTTAAATGTCACTTTAAGCTGTATAGAAGTGTCTTGAAAAATATCTAGTCAAATATTAATTACTGTCATCATGGCAAACATAAAATAAATCAGTTATTAAAAATGAGTTATTAAAACTATAATGTTTAGAAATGTGTTGAACAAATCTTCTCTTCGTTAAACCGAAACTGGGGAAACAAATAAACAGAGGTGCTAATAATTCAGGGGGGCTAATAATTCTGACTTTAACTGTAAGTCAAAATTTTATATTAATAAATAATATAAAACTATTTTCCAGTTCTGGGTTGTGGCTGGAAGGGCATCCGCTGTGTAAAACATATGCCAGAATAGTTGGCGGTTCATTTCGCTGTGGCGATCCTAAATAAATTAGTGACTGAGCTGAAGGAAAATGAATGAATAATTAATATGAAATTATATTACTATTAATATCATTTACAGCATTTGGATTTTGATTGCACTGAGCCATATCACGATGTTAGTTTTATTTGTAATTAAATTTTGACTTGAGTCTGGATGGAAACAGAATTAACTCCATTAACCCTGTTGCCTATTTTTACTGCTGCTATTGGGGTCAAATACATGTAAATGTTCTAAATAAAACAAATAGTTGTACTCATACTCTTAATTGAATTCCCTGATTTGATTACAGCCAAATTCTTTTCGAAGCTTGAATAACCTGAACAGCAGTGGTTAACTGTTACTCCATTCATTTGAAGTACATCAGGGCCTTCACACTGAAAACACACTAACTTTTACTCATTTTATTTAGTAATCATTTATCACCGTCCAATTAATACCCAGTGCATCAACTCAAGCCCTGCCCTACATTTATTAATTCTGTCGAAATCCTGTTTCAGTCGCCAATTTTTCACATTACGGAAAGATATGCTGTTTCATGACTTAAAAATAGACCTGTTCCCAATTTTACCCCAAAATACAACAAGACTCTTGAACTCAGAACTATTTTAAACTTCTGCATTCACCAAAGTGTGATGAGAATAAAAATAAGACAGACGGATGAGTCCAGTGGGAAGAATTTCTGGAGTCAAACAGCGAGAGATGACACCTGTATTACAAACACACTCTCAATCACCCTCTCTGTGTGTGTGTGTGTGTGTGTGTGTGTGTGTATGTTTCAGATATCTGCCAGAGGAACGTGAATGCACTGAGATCACAAAACCAAAAAGTCTTGGAGAAGCCTGCAAAGACCATCGCCTTAAACACACACACATACACAAACACAAACACACACACACACTGAAGAAGTACAGGGACCCAGATAAATGGCTGACAAACAGATCAGGTGAGTTTTAAAAGTCAGAAATCACTAGACTTATGCTGATGTATTCAATATGTTAGAGATAAAGTACATCCAGGTGGTTGTTATCGCAGAATAAATCCCGACAGGTTTATTGGCAGCCCGACGCAAAGCGGAGCACTGTTGTCTAAAACTGACAAGATGGCGCCAAACAGGCAAAATCGCAAAGCTGTCAGAAACAAAAACAGCTGATGGAGTATACACTAACCTGTGCATTATTCAGACACAAGATGGCGCCAAACAGTCAAAAAAGGAAATCTGACAGAAACAAAAACAGCTGATGGAGTATACTCTATTCACGGATTATTCAGATACAAGATGACACCAAACAGTCAAAAGCGCAAAGCTGACAGAAACTAAAACAGCTGATGGAGTATACACTAACCTGCGCATCATTCAGACACAAGATGGCACCAAACAGTCAAAAATGCAACGCTGACAGAAACCAAAACAGCTGATGGAGTATACACTAACCTGCGCATCATTCAGACACAAGATGGCACCAAACAGTCAAAAACATAAAGCTGAGAGAAACCAAAACAGCTGATGGAGTATACACTAACCTGCGCATTATCCAGACGAAAGATGGCGCCAAACAGTCAAAAACAAAGCTAAAAAAACGAAACCAGCTGATAGAGTATACACTAATTTGCACATTATTCAGACACAAGATGGCGCCAAACTGTAAAAAAAAATGGCAGAAACGAAAACAGCTGATGGAGTATACACTAACCTGCGCATTATTCAGACACAAGATGGCGTCAAACAGTCAAAAATGAGCAGATACCAATGAATGTAAATGTAAATGGATGTGAATGTATTCACTGATGTCAAGGTGAAGTTCTCGAATGAGCCAGTGTTATTTATCGGTTGTTATCTCAGAAAAGCAAACCTTATAATGTCACGACTGACCAATCACAATCGAGTATTCCAGACAGCATTGTAATAAATCGTGATAATCATTCACAATATTGCTATGGTGGAGAACACCATGAATAGTTATTATTAAAAAAATGTACAGTTCTTTTTAAGACTATAAAGTTTGTGTTCATAACAATGCCAAATACTTGGAGACATAATTGATTAGATTAATACGTCACGTTTCACATGTTAATCTAGCCTACTACATGCTCAAATATTGATCAAAAATACTCTCGTTTATAAGACGATTCGTATGCGATTCGTATGTCGGATGTCTTCTGAGGCGCAATCATTTATTATGTACAGTAAGAAAAAAAGGCCCAAAGTAGCTTCTCCTACCGCAGCAAATTCCATATATATATTAGGGATGTAACGGTATCAGAATTTCACGGTACGGTAATACCTCGGTATGAATCTCACGGTACGGTATTTATTGAATCATTTACAGGAAAAAACAAAACTTATGAAAATACTCCAAAAAAGTGGCAAAAGTGTCAATGACATACAAATTAGTCATCTATCTGTAAGCTTTGAAACAGGAACTTCAATTTTAATAACAAAAAAATATTAAACCATGTAAAAAAATTAAGTTTCAATTTAGTAGTGTTGAAAACTCATCACATTCAACATTTAATCACTCACTCACTTAGATAGAGATGGGTTTAAAGGAAAATTACCATATAAATATCATCTGGTAAAAGCTGGTATCTCTGGGTATTTACAATGTCCCCTGCAACAGAAAAAACCCTCTCATTTGGGACTGAGGTTTCTGGGACAAGGGAGATATGACTTGGCCCAGGTTGACAGCAGTGGGTAACGTTGTGCAATGTCTTTTCCCCACTTGAGAGGACAAACCATGAGTGAGATAGAGATCTCATGTCTGCATCAATCTGAACAGTGTGCTGTGTTTCTGCAGTCCCCATGACTGATTACTATCGTATTGGGGGACGTATTCCCCAACTTGCAGGCACGTGCACACACAGGGCTCAACCTATGCAGTGCACATGCCCTTTTTAGTCTTGGATAGAAAGTTCCCTTCCAAAATGATCAAAAGTGCCCCCGCGACGCGACATACCCTCCGTCCCCGCTTTACAGTACGCGCGCGACAACACAGCTGATAAGAACTCGCGCGACAACACCGATATTCAGTACGCACGCGACAACACCACTATTCAGTACGCACGCGGCGACAACACCCGCTTTAGGGTTTTCCAGCGCTTTTTCATCCCCGCTTCTAGCAGCACACTCCATTTCCGCATTACTGGATCTGTAGCGACAACAGACCGCAAGGGATTATGGCCAAGCCTGGGCTGATGGGAATTGTAGTTTCCGGTACCTCCCGTTCGCTTCATTCGCCTGAGCAAATTTTCTCAGAAGACCTATAGTTTTACCGAGTCATGCGACTACGGTAATATTGAAAAAAATTAATATTGCGGTAATATTACATCCCTAATATATATATATATATATATATATATATATATATATATTTTTTTTTTTTTTTTTTTTTCTTTGACTCTTTGAATGTAAACACTGCTTTATTCGCAAATGCTTTCTTCAATACCTCAGTTTTACGCATAAATCTAATTAACATTTTTGGATAGAATCATAGCTAGTGTAAGGTATGCAAGCACCACACCACAGCAACTGCATACTAATGCCCTGGCAACTAAATAAACTCGTAGCCATCTTACAGACAGAATAGGAACTCCTTAGCAACCGCCCCAAACCAAATTGCACTCAAAATCCAGGAATGCTGATCTTCTTGTGTTTGTCTCTTTAAATTTTTGCTTCAGTTTGCCTGCCAAGCTAATAAACGGCGGTGTTGCCGGACTGATCGGCGTTACGTGTGTGTTCCCCATTGATCTGGCCAAGACTCGCCTTCAGAACCAGCAGAATGGATCCCGCCTCTACACCAGCATGTGAGTGTTCAAACACACGATTCGAATCACAGAGAGAGATTCAGTTCCACTGATTCACATGTACATTATATGTGTTGCGTTCTGCAGGTCAGACTGCCTTATTAAGACCATACGGTCAGAGGGATACTTTGGCATGTATAGAGGTAAGTGCATGTGTTAAAGTGCCCGTAAGATCCAACATAGGTTAATTCTGAAAACGTAGCCCTATATACATTTCTGGAAATCACAAATGATGTATCCAGAAGTATGTATGGCTGCATTTCATTTTTAAAACGAATGCTACAGAGTGGTATGACGCCATTACTTTTTGCGCTTACCAGCTGGCCGCTTACCTCTGTATGGATGGATTTCCCACTGTTACCACTGTTTATCCAGAGGCTCACCGCGTACGTCGGCGGACTTGAGATGCAGAGTTGACCGTGACGACAGTGTTTGATTGAGTGGGTGGGTCAATCGGTGCTTTTAAAAACACTATTGGTTGGGTTTAAGGAAGTGGGTGGGCGGCTCAATCTGTGCTTTTGAAAACACTATAGGTTAGGATAAAGGAAGGAGAAGGGTGGGTGAGTCGATCGGTCAGTCAGTCGACAGTGGCTTCTGGTGGATTTACGCGAGACTAGCAGATGTAAATGGCATTCGCGAGAGAATTTTGAGATCTGAAAAAGCGTACACAGCGGCCTCTGGTGGATTCACGAAAACAAAAACGTAGCTCCAGGGACGTATTTGGCGCTCTCCAGAAATGTATATTGGGCTACGTTTTCAGATGTAACATTTGTAGATACTAGTATCACTATGTTAGTATTAAACTATTAAAGTAGTTAACTGAGACAAAATCTGCATCAAGCGGATATAAACACATATAATTATTTGGATTAAAAAATTTTTTGACATTGCCTCAGACTTTCTCATCAAATCTTCTGATTGAAATGCTTTCTAGTGTCTGACATGCTCGGCCCCCTCAAGATGCTATTGATAAATGCGCTTAAGCTCAACCACTCTAGTAGTAGAGCTGTAATAAAAAACGAAATCCTATCGGCATGGTTTTATAAAAAGGGGAGGAGCTACTCCATGTCCCGCCCTCTCTATGTTTCAGTTGAGATTATGTCAAACGCTGAACAAAAATACACTTCACTTTTAAAGGGGTGGTCCGAAGTGTATTTTTAAGGCTTGGTTGTGTTTAGAAGATGCTAAGCAATGTGTGCTCATGATTCATTTGTAGAAAATCACATGATCTTTTTCATATATCTTACTTTGATTTTATACAGCTACTCAGCTAACATGAAATCTGTTGTCATATTTCCTAGTTCCTCCTAAAGGTCCGCATTCATGAGGCTCTAAATGGTTAGCTAACATAATGTGCTGTGATTTGTGACGTATGAAATACTGTTTACAGGTCCAAGCCGCTACTCATTTGAATTGAGAAAATGTTCGTTTACAGCCACTTTTTAGCCATATCACACATTAAAGTGAATTTTATAAAAAATCATGGTGTACACAACAGTCCCTGGACTTGCTGCATCGCAAATACCAAAATTTTAACAGTTTATAAAAAATGAATCACTTTCTGGCCATCAGATATTAGGCATGGATATATAATATTTTGATTGTGATTTTCGAAAGTATTACATTGCTTTGTAATCGTTTATTATTACCATTTGTTGAGTCTCCCAATTCAGTTTGGACTCGGAAGCCGCTTCGTGTGACGTCACACTTAACAAGCGGATACTGTCAGTCAGAGTAGCTGTTAGCCGTATCAGTTTGAGACTGAATCAACCAGAAAATGAAAAGCATTAACCTCATTTCTGCTCTCTAAAATAAAATCTGACAAGTGTCTTTCATATATATTGGGGTTATAAGCATGTGTAAGTAACATGAAACGTTCACATATCCAGTTATTTGAGATGTAGAAAGCACAGAAAGCGGCCGCATAGAGAGACACTGCAGCCCTGGTGGAGATTGTGGGTGTTTACAGAGGTTTGACTGATAAATAAGAATGTGTAGCTAAATCGTTAGTGGTGCCAAACAGCATTTCCCATTGTTTACATCCTTGTTTACATCATACCATTAACGCTAGACGCTGTGCATGTAATAGATCAGTTTTAAAAAATAAAGATACCTACAGGTTGTGGCTCACAATCCACAGCTTCGTCTATTATGATTAGAGCTGCTCCTTCTTTAAGGAGTTTTTAGCTGAATCCAGCACTGAACTGGGAGAGATTCTGGAAGCTGTCCGTTGTCAAATGCTATTGTAAGTTAAATTAAATTGTAAGCACTCCTCTCTTTGTGTCGTGTCCTATGAAAGCCCAAATACAGAAACAGAAGAAGCTCTGTGGAAATAACAGAGTTTGGATGCCATTTTAGCTATCTCTGCTATAGCATTATAGCGCATCTGGCCACGCCCCTTCACTGCGAGGTGTATATGCGCGTAATCCATAGACTGTAAAAGATATGGACGTAGTATCCATGACGTCACCATAGGTTTTTGAAGAACCCAAAACAAGCTACCAGTAGACGTGGCCAACCGTCGCTATTTTGTTTGCTCGTCATCGCATTGACCAGGGGATACCAAACAAGGGCAATGAGGTGGAGCGTGAGCGGAGCTACAGTCGCCTGTTAGCATTTTGCTTAGACTGGTTTTACTTTGGTAGAAATGCTTTATACTTCATTACCTGCAACTCGTTTGTGTTCTGACCACATGTCCTTGGTTGTACACTATATCAATAGTTTATATCAAGTGTTTAGATTTTAAAAACCCTTTTATAATACACTGAGCCACTATAAATATAGTCTGTGTTAGTAAATGCAAGGCTGTTTATGAAATCCAGGCATATAACACTGTATGACAACATTTCAGACGAGTGTTCTAGAGCCTACAGCTAATCAATCTGTCAGATTCTGGAGCGCTTTACAGCTCTAAAGAAAAATATAAAGGATAAATGATCTTAAATAAAACAAAAACATTTATAGAGATGGTATATAAGTATATTATTTAACTCACTTGGGAAATGGAGGCCACGTGAATAATTTGTGAGCACAATTATGTGCACACAGCATGCCATATCATCTAATAATTGTAAGAAATAAATCCAAAAAGCTAATCACTAAGTAAAGCCACATAAAACAACATAAAAATATGACGTATATGCCGAGTTCAGCAGCTAATCAGCAGGAATCAGCTGAGGTGAAGTGACGGCGATCAGCGAAACCTAGCTGTCACTCAAGTGGCCACGCCCTTAATTATGCAGACTTAATATACCTTAATATAAACGAAACAGATGATTTCAACCCCTCACAGTTGTCAGGAAGGGTATTATTAGCTGTATGAACCAAAATCGTTCTATGTACCAGGCTGTACACACCTTTCTCTCTGCTGTATTTAACAGTGGGCTCAATAGAAATTTGCTCCATATGCAGCCAGGACTAGTGGAATTTCAATGAATTGCAGTTTCAGTTACTTGCGTATTTGCTTCATGAGGGAGAGCGAGAGGTTGCCGCCTGGCGTAACCTGAAGCGTTTGTGATCTCATTACCCCGGATGTATTTTTTTGTAGTACCCAAATTTCATTCGATAAGCTAACTCCAATGTCTTCAAAGCCAATGTCTCCCTTTGCATTAAACTTTGATCGTCTTACATTTAGAGATGTTGTTTATGTTCGCACAGCTACCCTTCAACTAAAGTTTCCAATATGATATCGTAGTGGACCGCCCTTTTAAGTTAATTGACAATTTAGAGATATTTTTAAAAATGAACACAACAGGAAATATTTCCAAAATCTTCATCTTCCCTCTCTCAGGTGCTGCGGTGAACCTGACTCTTGTCACCCCAGAAAAAGCCATCAAGCTGGCGGCAAATGATTTCTTCAGGCATCATTTCTCTAAAGACGGGTGAGACATAAACACACACACACACACACACACACACACACACACACACACACACACACGCACAGAACATGCACTAATCAATATAAACACGATGACTGAGCTTATTCACACACACACACACACTCACACATCATCTGGTCTGACACACTGCTTGCTTTCAATACCGGCCTTGAGCATGTCCACAAACACACACACACACACACACACACACACACACACACACACACACACACACACAGCTCATCATGTCCCTCTTCTCTCAATATGGCGACCTCGAAACACATCAAAATACCGTGGTATCACCATCTGACACGGGTGTGTGACATACCGATGCGGATGAACGTCTCAATCAGTTCAGCTCACAGTATTACATTACCAGAGCGCATTAATATTACACATGCACACAGACAATACCCACAATGCCCTGCTCGGCTGGGTATCCATGGCGACTGCAAACGGCGCTGGTGAATTATTGACCAGCATCCCCAAAACAAAGTGTGAATTATTAACAAGCACCAGTGTGTGTGTGTGCGTGTATGTGTGTGTGTGTGTGTATTTCTGATGGATGTGTGTTTCTGATGTGTGTGTTTGTTTCTGATGTGTGTGTGTGTGTGTTTCTGATGTGTGTGTTTGTTTCTTATGTGTGTGTGTGTGTGTGTGTGTGTGTGTTTCTGATGTGTGTGTGTGTGTGTTTCTGATGTGTGTGTGTGTGTGTTTCTGATGTGTGTGTGTGTGTTTCTGATGTGTGTGTGTGTTTCTGATGTGTGTGTGTGTGTTTCTGATGTGTGTGTGTGTGTGTGTGTTTCTGATGTTTGTGTGTGTTTCTGATGTGTGTGTGTGTGTGTGTGTGTGTGTGTGTGTTTCTGATGTGTGTGTGTGTTTCTGATGTGTGTGTGTGTTTCTGATGTGTGTGTGTGTGTTTCTGATGTGTGTGTGGCTGTTTCTGATATGAATGGATATTTCTGGTGTGTGTGTTTCTGATGTGTGTGTGTGTGTGTGTGATATGTTTGTGTGTTTCCAATGTGTGTGATTATGGTGTGTGTTTCTAATATCCGTGTGTGTGTCTGATATGAATGGATATTTCTGGTGTGTGTGTTTCTGTTGGTGTGTGTGTGTGATGTGTTTGTGTGTTTCGGATGTGTGTGTGTGTGTGTGTGTTTGTTTCTGATGTATGTGTGGGTTTGTTTCTGATGTGTGTGTGTGTGTGTGTGTGTGTGTGTGTGTGTGTGTGTGTGTGTGTGTGTGTGTGTGTGTGTGTGTCTGCGCATGTGTGTGTGTGTGTGTGTGTGTTGATAATAAGAAAGCTCACACTCTTCTGTTCTTCCTCAGGCAGAAACTCACTCTCCTGAAAGAGATGCTGGCTGGCTGCGGTGCAGGAACCTGTCAGGTCAGTGCGCAAACACACACACACACACAGACACAGACACACACAAATACACAGAGACACACAGACACACACACACACAGACACACACACACACGCACGTGATGCTTGAGCCTCTGCTAACAGACGATTCAGCAGCACACAGATCATTGTGTCTGTAATGGCTGAAGAGACAAAACACAGATGCATTAGTGCCGTAAACACATCCACATTATCCACACACCGCCTGATCCGCCACTAACAGCCTTTCACCTGAAGCAGGTGCTCACACACATCAGCTCTCGCATTATACAGCAGCCGAGCCGTGTAATGACGCTCGCCTGCTTAATGTGTGTGTTCTTCCACAATACCACACTCAAATCAACAGACTCAAAGCATCTGGACAAATCCATACAGCTTTTTAGGACTTGGAAATTGTGTAGATAGACTGTATATTAATTAACATTATTATTAAAATCTATCCGTTTACACACGTATGACTGAATAATTGTATTCTAATCAGCCATTCAGATGGATGAATGAACGTCAGCTAAACCACTTAAATGACTTCCACTATTGACGGTTTTAACTGATTGAGTTGTAGTGATCCGGTCATGTGACCTCTCGGAGATGATCAGCTTCCTGTTGTCATTGAGCAGCTTTACAGGCATGCGGGATTAAATGATGGGATTACAGCAGACTCTTGATTAAGATTGACATGCTCTTTCTACCTATCGGCATCTCACGCAAGTAATCCCATCAACTAGTGCCGAGTCAGGTTAGTGGAGAGCAGAGGAGATGAGCCGCAGACCTGTACAAACCCCTTCGGATCTGATGAAACGTGTAATTGGGTCTCTGGTGACAGCAGCGCTAGCACACATAAATGTGTCTTTGTCTGTCGACAGTGCTGCATGTTCATGCTAAACTAAACTTCACTCCACTCCATGAGCCTCCATAAGATTACATTCGTTAAACAACAGAAAACCACCTGGACAATTCAGGAAAATTACTCATGACCCCTTAGCAACCACTAAAGAAACTTGTAAAAACAGTCCCCTGCTGAAAAAAACAGCTTAAATCAGCCAAGGCTGGTTGGCTGGTGGACCAGCCTGGTTTTAGAGGGGTTTTGGCAATTTCCAGCCTGGCCTTAGCTGGTCAGGCTAGGAGATGACCATCTAAAACCAGCTTGACCAGCCTAGCCTGGCTGTGAGGTCAGCCGAAACCAGCTATGTCCAGCTTAAACCAGGGTGGACAAGCTGGTTTTAGCTGGTTATTTTTCAGCCTATCTAAGCCCTCTAAAACCAGGCTGGTCAACCAGCTAAACCAGCCAACCAGCCTAGGCTGATTAAAGCAGTTTTATAAGCAGGGTCACAACACAATAACAACACCTTAGCAACCAATAATCAAGTAAAATCACTCACAACACCATAGCAACAACTTAGCAACTACTGAAAAAGTAGTAAAATGCTCACAACACCATAGCGATGCCTAAGCAACCACTAAAAACTAGTAAAAACACTAACAGCACATTAGAAACACCATAGCAACCACTGAAACAACTATTAAAAACACCCACAACACCATAGGAACACCTTAGCGACCACACAAAAAACTTGAAAATAAATCACAACACCTTAGCAACCACTAAAGTAGTAAAACATTTACAACACCATAGCAACACCGTAGCAACCACTAAGAAAACTAGTAAAATGACTCACAACCCCATAGCAACACCTTAACAACCAGTAAAGTAGTAAAACAGTCACAACACCATATCAACACCGTAGTAGGCCTTAAAATTGTAAAACATCTACAGCACCATATCAACACCTCAACAGGCACTAAAGAATCTAATAAAACACCCACAACACCATAGCAACACCATAGCAACTATTAAAAAACTAGTAAAAAGACTCACAACACCATAGCAACACCTTAGCAACCACTGAAAAAGTAGTAAAATGCTCACAACACCATAGCGATGCCTTAGCAACCACTGAAAAAAAAACTAGCAAAAGGCTCAAAACAACATAGCGATGCCTTAGCAACCACTAAAAACTAGTAAAGACACTCACAGCACCTTAGAAGCACCATAGCAACCACTGAAACAACTATTAAAAACACCCACAACACCATAAGAACACCTTCACAACCACACAAAAAAACTAGAAAATAAGTCACAACACCTTAGCAACCACTAAAGTAGTAAAACATTTACAACACCATAGCAACACCTTAGCAACCAGTAAAGTAGTAAAACAGTCACAACACCATGTCAACACCGTAGTAGGCCTTAAAATAGTAAAACATCTACAGCACCATATCAACACCTCAACAGGCACTAAAGAATCTAATAAAACACCCACAACTGCATAGCAACACCTTAGCAACTACTAAAGAAACTAGTAAAAAGACTCGCAACACCATAGCAACTACTAAGAAACTAGTAAAAAGACTCACAACACCATAGCAACACCTTAGCAACCACTGAAAAAGTAGTAAAATGCTCACAACACCATAGCGATGCCTAAGCAACCACTAAAAACTTGTAAAAACACTCACAACACCTTAGAAACACCATAGCAACCAATGAAACACCTATTAAAAACACCCACAACACCATAGGAACACTTTAGCAACCACAAAAAAAAACTAGTAAATAAGTCACAACACCTTAGCAACCACTAAAAATGTAAAAATTTACAACACCATAGCAACCACTAAGAAAACTAGTAAAATGACTCACAACCCCATAGCAACACCTTAACAACCAGTACAGTAGTAAAACAGTCACAACACCATGTCAACACCGTAGTAGGCCTTAAAATAGTAAAACATCTACAGCACCATATCAACACCTCAACAGGCACTAAAGAATCTAATAGAACACCCACAACTGCATAGCAACATCTTAGCAACTACTAAAGAAACTAGTAAAAAGACTCACAACACCATAGCAACACCTTAGCAACTACTAAAGAAACTAGTAAAAAGACTCACAACACCATAGCAACACCTTAGCAACTACTAAAGAAACTAGTAAAAAGACTTGCAACACCATAGCAACTACTAAGAAACTAGTAAAAAGACTCACAACACCATAGCAACACCTTAGCAACCACTGAAAAAGTAGAAAAATGCTCACAACACCATAGCGATGCCTAAGCAACCACTAAAAACTTGTAAAAACACTCACAACACCTTAGAAACACCATAGCAACCAGTGAAACACCTATTAAAAACACCCACAACACCATAGGAACACTTTAGCAACCACAAAAAAAAACTAGTAAATAAGTCACAACACCTTAGCAACCACTAAAAATGTAAAAATTTACAACACCATAGCAACCACTAAGAAAACTAGTAAAATGACTCACAACCCCATAGCAACACCTTAACAACCAGTACAGTAGTAAAACAGTCACAACACCATGTCAACACCGTAGTAGGCCTTAAAATAGTAAAACATCTACAGCACCATATCAACACCTCAACAGGCACTAAAGAATCTAATAAAACACCCACAACTGCATAGCAACATCTTAGCAACTACTAAAGAAACTAGTAAAAAGACTCGCAACACCATAGCAACATCTTAGCAACCAGTAAAAAACTAGTAAAACACTTACAACACCTTAGCAACAATTTAGCAACCACTAAAGAAACTAGTAAAAAGACTCACAACACCATAGCAACACCTTAGCAACCAGTAAAAAACTAGTAAAACACAACACCTTAGCAACGCTTTTGCAACCACTAAAGAAACTAGTAAAAAAACTCACAAGAACTAAAGTAGTAAAAACACTGCAATGACTTTGCAACCACTACTAAAGCTAGTTAAACTACTTAGCAAAACACCTTAGCAACCTAAACTCACACACAACACCATAGCAACCACTAATGAAACTAGCAAAATCATTCACATCAACACCTTAGTGACCTCAAAAGTAGTAAAAACACTACACAACACCATAGCAACGCCTTAGCCACCACTAAAGAAACTACTATATCAAAAACGCTCACAATTCCTTAGCAACCACTAATAAAAGTAGCAAAAATACTCAAACAATTCATTCATTCATTTTCCTTCAGTTTAGTCCCTTTATTAATCTGGGGTCACCACAGCGGAATGAACCGCCAACTTATCCAGCATATGTTTTACACAGCGGATGCCCTTCCAGCCGCAACCTAGTACTGGGAAACACCCTTATACTCTCACTCACACACTTACACTACAGACAATTTAGCTTACCCAATTCCCCTATAGCGCATGTGTTTGGACTGTGAGGGAAACCAGAGCACCCAGAGGAAACCCACACCAACACGAGGAGAACGTACCACACAGAAATGCCTACTGACTCAGCCGAGGCTCAAATCAGCGACCCTCTTGCTGTTTGGCGATCGTGCTACCCACTGCGCCACCGTGACACCCCCAAACACCATTCAGACATGCTAAAACACTCAAATATCTTAGCAATCTTCTAAAAACACCTAGAAAAGCATCGACCTATAAAGCGTGGTAAAAACACCTCAGTTTGACACATTACGGATGTGAAATGGGTCTCGTATACTGCTTTGTGAACCCACCTGAACCACAGCACGTAGGAGGATGTGCTAATTGTATGTTTTTATATGCGGTGGCTCCTTTTTAAAATAGTCGTAGCAAAAATGACAGGCTTTCAGACGAGGCTTTGATAGGTTTAACTACATTTACACACGTGTAAAATCATTAAGAGTGTGTGTTTGTAACCAGTTTGACCATTCACAGCAGCTTTAGGTTGATGTAAATATGTGTGTGTGGCCCTTTAAATGATCTCGTTCTCATTCCTTCAGGTTTGTGAGGTTAAGCTTGTGTTTGTGTTGCAGGTCATCGTTACGACACCGATGGAGATGCTGAAGATTCAGCTGCAAGACGCCGGAAGAATCGGTAAGAATATCTGCAGAAAAGAGGAAGGAGCGAGGGGAGAAGTGAGAGATCAGGGCAGAGAAGAGGAATGAAGCACTGCCACCTTGTGTTCACATTTGACAATTTCATTTTTAGTCGTAGAGCAATACAATTCTTTGATGAATGTGGATGTAATAAAAAGTGCAATAGGTTTCTATGAGGAATATTATGTCAGCATATATATTATTTTGTACACCTGAGTATAATGTGTTCAGTGTAATAAATATTTAGTTTTTTTGAATATTTTAAAAACATTTTTGTAAAACATAAATATTAAATATAGCTTTTAAAAAAGGGATAGTTCACCTAAAAATGAAATTTATGTCATTATTTAGCTACTTTTTAATTGTTTTAAACATTTATAAGTCTCTTTTTTTATGCTAAACACAAAAGCGGTGTTTTGAAAAATGCTAAAAACCTGTAACCATTGACTTCCATAGTATTTGTTTTTCTTAATAGTCAATGGTTACAGGTTTTCAGCTTTTTCAAAATATCATATTTTGTGTTCAACAAAGGAACGAAACTTATAAAGGTTTCAAAAGAATTGAGGGAGACACCATTTTTATTTTTGGGTGAACTGTCCCTTTAAAAAACAACATACTTTTAAAAATATATATTTTTTAAATGAACAATTTGTAAATTATGTAAATTAGATATAGATATAAATACTTTATATAAATACTAATATTAAGTCACCTTTAGCAGAACTGAATATAAATTTAAATATTATTAAATATGTATTCCCAGAGACGGGTTGCTGCTGGAAGGGCATCCACTGTGTAAAAACATGCTGGATAAGTTGGCGGTTCATTCCGCTGTGGCGACCCCAGATTAAAAAAGGGACTAAGCCGACAAGAAAATGAATAATTGAATTAAATATGTATTTTCTTGTATTAAATATTGCAATGTTTAAAGTACATTTCCAGTTTGATTATGTTTGATTTAGTAATTACGTTTTATTTAAGAATTCATTTACATATAATTCATTTTAAAAAAATCTATTTTCTTTAAATACTGACCATTGTTATTCTGAATAATATTATCTGAATAAAAAAAGGCCGTTGTCAGGCATTAATGAATATTATTTAATATAGTGGTTATTATTCATTCTGTATTTTTCAGCGAATTAAATATTTTGTATTATTAAATATTTAATCAGTAGTCTTTTTATATTTGCCAGTCTGTGAGATTTGCCCCATGTATATTTTTTCCTCAATTTCTGTTTAACAGAGAGAAGATTCTTTATCAACACATTTCTGAACATAATAGTTTAATAACTCATCTTTAATAACTGATTTATTTTATCTTTGCCATGATTACTGTAAATAATATTTGACTAGATATTTTACAAGACACTTCTATACAGCTTAAAGTGACATTTAGGCAGGTTAGGGTAATTAGGCAAGTCATTTTATAACAGTGGTTTGTTCTGTAGTAGACTATTAAAAACAAATATAGCTTAAAGGGGGTAATAATATTGACCTAAAACTGCATTTTTTTGCAGCCGAAATAAAACAAATAAAACTTTCTCCAGAAGAAAAAATATTATAAGAAATACTGTGAAAAATTCCTCAATCTGTTAAATATCATTTGGGTAATATATGAAAAAGAAACAAAAATTCACAGGAGGGCAAATAATTCTGACATCAACTGTATTTCTGATGTGTTTCGTGTGCAGCGGCTCAGAGGAAGCTCATGCCTCAGGCTGTGACCCCAGGGGGCCCCGTGGAGATGAAGTCCCCCACTGCTATGCAACTCACCAGACAACTGCTGAAGGAGAAGGGCATCGCGGGGCTCTACAAGGGCCTGGGGGCCACACTGCTCAGGTTAGCAAAACACACACTGCCAAAACTGAACAAAGAACAAAACTTCTTGTTGGCAAATACAATATTTCTATTTATTTTATATACTTTTTTCAATGTAATATGTATTCGGACATCACAGCTTGTTTTTGTTACTGCAAAACTTTCCATTTACAGCTGAAGTCAGAATTGTTTGCCCACCTTTGAATATATATATTTTTTCAAATATTTCCCAAATGATGTTTAAGAGAGCAGGGAATTTTCACAGTATTTCCTATAATATTTTTCCTTCTGGAGAAAGTCTTATTTCTTTTTTTTTCGGCAAGAATAAAAGCAGCTTTTCATTTTTTTAAAGCGATTTTAAGGTCAATATTATTAGCCCCTTTAAGCTATATATTCTTTTGATAGTCTACAAAACAAACCATCGTTGTACAATAACTTGCCTAATTACCCTAACCTGCCTAGTTACACTAATTAACCTAGTGAAGCCTTTAAATGTCACTTTAAGCTGTATAGAAGTGTCTTGAAAAATATCTAGTCAAATATTATTTACTGTCATCATGGCAAAGATAAAATAAATCAGTTATTAGAGATGAGTTATTAAAACTATTATGCTTAGAAATGTGTTGAAAAAAATCTGCTCTCCGTTAAACAGAAATTGAGGAAAAAAATAAACAGGGGGGCGAATAATTCAGGGGGCTATTAATTCTGACTTCAACTGTAAATTGGTATGTAACCATTAGTTTGTAAAGAAAATTGATATATTATAATATACTGTACAAAAGCAATAAAAAAGAAAAAAAAAACGTCTTTATTGTTTAATTTTTTGATCGTTCTGTATTATTCTGAAAAAACTCTTGTTGAGAACAAACAATTGCAAAAAGAGCATCGCTTTATATACAGTATATAAAATTAAATATCTTCGTTAAATGTGTGTGTGTGTGTGTGTGTGTGCGTGTGTGTGTGTGTGTGTGTGTGCAGAATTATTGGCACTGCTATGAATTCATATTGGCCAAATATTTTTGAAGTATATTCCCATAACTATTTTACTTTTTTTTGTACACATGGGTGACAATAATTAAATTAAAGTCACTTGTATAGAACTTTTCGCTATACTCATCCTCTACTTACATCCAAAAACTCTTAGATTTTTTGGTAAGGTCTTTGGCAAAAGATCAAAAAGTATTTATATCTCTCTAGAGTTCAACGGTTGAGTTTTACCATTTTTGAATCCATTCAGCTGATCTCCGGGTCTAGCGGCAACTGCTTTTAGCTTAGCTTAGCATAGATCATTTAATTGGATTAGACCATTAGCATCTTGCTCAAATAAATTTAGCTATTTTTTTTTATTTAAAAGGCAAGCTTTAAATAGAAAAATGATCAAAACTCTTTTTTTGAAGAGTCTACATATTTAATATTTTCAATAATTGTTTAATTTCTTTTTTAACTGAATAGTTTACATTTTTATCTCTCTTATTTTTGAATATGTGTCTAGTAGTATTAAAAATAGCAATAATATTAAAGAAAATTTAACATTGTAATTGTGATATTTGGAATACTCTATATTACACGTTGAAAGTTATTAATCAAGGGTCACTATAGCAGAATGCCAACTTATCCAGCAAATGTTTATCACAGCGGATGCCCTTCTAGCTGCAACCCAGTACTGGGAAACATCCATTGAACTGAATTAGACCATTAGCATATTGTTAAAAAAAATTTAAAAGAGCTTTAATAACTTTCGAATTAGAGTTGAGCTTTAAATAGGAAAATTATCGAAACTGCTGTGAATTTTTGCGAGATGCTAATGGTCTAATCCGATTAAATGATTTATGCTAAGCTAAGCTAAAAGTCTTCTGAATAGATTCAAAATAGGTGGAACGTAATAGTTTAGCTGTTGTAAAATGAGCCTATTTAAAAAAAGTGTTGTGTTCCTTTAAACAATAAATACATTTTTCAAAGCCTTCTTTGCTCATATTAACCAATGTTAGCGGAGGACACTGTATCACACAATAACCATCACTGATTCTGGCAGAACGAGCGCTTATATTTCACATTTGTGTTTCCTCTCTTTTCAGGGACGTCCCGTTCTCTATCATTTATTTCCCCCTGTTTGCTAATCTGAATAATCTGGGGAAGAAAGGAGGAGATGGTCCTGCGCCTTTCTACGTCTCCTTCATCTCAGGCTGCATTGCAGGAAGCACAGCTGCAGTCGCTGTTAACCCTGTAGATGGTGCGTTACTCCTCATTATCACATAATATACAGCTGAAGTCAGAATTATTCGCCCTCATATAAACTATATAATAAATTATAATGTTTCACAGTATTTCCTATAATATTTTCATTCTCTTCTGGAAAAAGTCTTATTTGTTTTATTTCGGCTAGAATAAAAGCAGTTTTTTTTAATTTATTTTTTAATCATTTTAAGGTCAATATTATTAGCTGCCTTAAGCAAGATTTGTTTTCCATTGTCTACAGAACAAACAACTGTTATACAATGACTTGCCTAGTTACCCTAACCTGCCTAATTAACACTTTAAATGTCACTTTAAGTGGAATACTAGTATCCTGAAAAATATGGATATATGGGAAATATATATATATATATAATATATAGGGAAAGAGGGGGAGTAGGGGTGGAAGGGGAGATTCTTCAAAACGAAGATGGCTGTCATATGGAACTCAGGGTATTTATAGTGGCTTAGGAATCGTCTGATTGGTTATTCATAAATTGAATAATGCAGAACCGGCTGTAAGCAATCATAAGCACATGATCCTCTCCAAATTAATTTATAAATAAACTTCACTTGAAATCATAAAAGTACACATACCGCAGGGAATTTTAACAGACTTTTCCAAACCACAGTAAACATTGAAACTGGTTATCGTCCCATGCCTAATTGAATATATCAATATCATTTATAAACAAGCATTTTTTTTGTGTTTTTACTGTATAAGTTTTTAGAAATAATCTTTATATTCGTTTTGTATTGCTGAATATTTCATAATTAATATTTTCAATAGTTGTTTAATCTCTTTTTGTAAACTAAATGTTGAATATGTTTACATTTTTGTCTCTTTTTATTTATGAATATTTGTATTACAGTATTACCAATGCCAATAATTTTAATGGACATTGTAATAATTGAAATGTATATATTGAACACTAAATATTACACATTGAATGTTTTTCAATAGTATATTACATGGAATGTAAAAGTAGAGAATATTGAATATTATTTAGCATTTTTATTTAAATTCTGCACATTAAATATACAGTTGAAGTCAGAATTATTAGCCCCCCTGAATTATTAGGCCCCTTGTTTATTTCTGTATAAACATAATAGTTTTAATAACTCATCTCTAATAACTGATTTATTTTATCTTTGCCATGATGACAGTAAATAATATTTAACTAGATATTCTTCAAGACACTTCTATACAGCTTAAAGTGACATTTAAAGGCTTAACTGGGTTAATAAGGTTAACTAGGCAGGTCAGGGTGATTAGGCAAGTTATTGTATAATGATAGTTTGTTCTATAGACTATCAGAAAAAATATAGCTTAAAGGGGCTAATAATATTGTCTTTAAAATGGTGTTTAAAAAATTAATAACTGCTTTTATTCCAGCCAAACTTTCTCCAGAAGAAAAAATATTATCAGACATACTGTGAAAATTTCCTTGCTCTGTTAAACATTATTTGGGAAATATTTTAAAAAGAAGAAAAAAATTCAAAGGGGGCTAATAATTTTGAACTGTATGTTTTTAAGTTTTTTGTGTCTTCATACCCACTTATGATACACATGCTGATCTCTCTTTTAACCAACTAAATAAAAGTACATAATGCTGAATATCAGTTTTGTCATATAGTTAATTAATTGAACATAAAAGTACAAAATTCTGAAAATTATTTAGTATTTTTATTTTAACAATGAATATTAAAATATTTGTTTTCAAGTTTTTTGTGTCTTCATATCCACATGTGATACACAGGCTAATCTCTCTTAATTAACTAGATACTTAAACTCTATTTAGACCAATTGCAGGTTGCCAAAACAGTCACGTTTGGTCTCTGTCAGGAGGCTAAGCAGGCAGTATGCAGTGAAGCAGCTCGCTAGCGTCTGGAAAGCAGCCTACTGTATATGTTAGCAAGAACTGTTGTGCAATGCAAAAAGCCACATCTGTGACCGTTGAACCTCTTGTGTGTGTTTCAGTGATAAAGACCAGACTCCAGTCGCTAACACGAGGCAGTGAAGAGGACTCTTACAGTGGGGTGACGGACTGTATCAGGTGAGATCATTTTTATTGGCCGGGGAGTTCATCAGGTGACCTTGCTTTATTAAGCTGCTCCTATTATGCTAGAGTTTAGTTTTACATAGTATGCTTTTCTCATTTTAAAAAGATGTGGCACAGTGGCTCAGTGGTTAGCACTGGTGCTTCACAGCAAGAAGGTCACTGGTTCGAGTTCCTGTGGGTCGGTTGGCATTTCTGTGTTGATGTTGGCATGTTCTCCACGTGTTGGTGTGGGTTTCCTCCGGATTCCCCCACAGTCCAAACACATGCGCTATAGATGAATTGGATGAAGTAAATTGGCCATAGTGTATGTCTGTGTTTGAATGTGAGAGTATATGGGGTTTTCCCAGTACTGGGTTGCGGCTGGATGGGCATCTGCTGCGTAAAACATAAGCCATAATAGTTGGTGGTTCATTCCGCTGTGTCGACCTGATTAATAAAGGGACTAAGTCGAAAACAAAATGAATGAATGGATAAGTTAGCGATTCATTCCGCTGTGGTGACCACTGTTAAATAAGGCATTAAGCTGAAGGAAAATTAATGAATGATTTTTAAAAAGCAAATTTTTGTGAAAGTGGCTGAAAATACTAAGCTAGATAAAAAGTTAACATCGCTGCGTAATATCATTGCACTTTTAACCATGGTGCGGCAGCAAAGTTTCTTGATTATTATGCCAAAATGGTTGTATAGTTCCTAGTCATATCGACCTAGAAAATAGCAACGTTTATTTTTCTATCAGTTTTAGTATACGATGTAACTACAGAAGTGACGGTTTCACCATTTTTGAATCTATTCGTCTAGTGGAAGCACTTTTAGCTTAGCTTAGCTTAGCATGGACTATTGAATCCGATTAGACCATTAGCATTTCGCTAAAAATGTCCAAACATTTTTTTGATCACTTATTTAAAACTCGACTCTTTTTGGAAGTTTTTGAACGAGACGCTAATTGCTAATCTGATTCAATGAATTATGCTAAGCTAAAAGTGTATGAGCCAGACCCAGAGCTCTGCTAAATGGATTCAAACTTGTTTAACTCTAGAGCAGTGGTTCTCAAACTATTTTCAACAAGTACCACCTTAGAAAAAAACTGTCTCTCCAAGTACCACTATAATGACTGGTATTGAAATACATAGTAGGCCCAATTAAGCGGCTACAGCTTACTACAAAACTACAGATTGATTCTTGTTATTATGAATATTTATTATTGTCAGCCACTTTAAACATAATAAATAGCTTGAACAATAACACACTTACAGGTAAAAAAAAAAGACAAGTAAAACGTCAACGTTTAAATTAAAATTTAAAAGTTAATTAAAAATGGCACTGTTCTAAAAAAATTAAACGAAAACTGCTGTACTTAAATGTAAAGTATTAACATAGAGTAGCCTCATCATCAAAACCTGGAAATGTTTCTTGGACCTCATAAATATAGGTTATACCGTATGTCATAATATTCATATATAACTCTGTTTGAAAAATGTTGAAATATACATTGCTTGTATATATTTCTTATTTGTATATTTTTGAAATCTAAATGTTAACTTGTATTTTAAATATATGATTTGGATTTACATATTTAAATTAGAAATTAGATCTGCGTACTGCGTGTAAGAGTAGGCTATGTGTGTCAGAAAAGCAATTGATTAAACTATACCTTTCAACATTGGGATATAAAAATACGAGATACGCCCCGTTACGCAACCGTTACAAGTATGGGGAGGAAAATAACCTCAAATGATAGAATACATAACAAACATTAGAAAAATAAAGATAAAATAAAAGGTTAAGCCTGTTAAAATCAAATTTCCGGATCACATCGTACGAATCAAAGGGTTAAAAGTGTGTTTTTTTTTTTTTTTTTGCTTGAATTAATCAGTCCTCCGCGCACCACTAGAAGGAAGCCTGCGTACCACTTGTGGTACATGTACCACAGTTTGAGAACCACTGCTCTAGACAGTTATAAAATGAGTCTATTTACAAAAAAAAGGGGAGTGTTCCATTAAGATCTAAATAAACGTGGAAAAATAATCACACATACAAGTCAATTTTTCAGTATAAAAAAGTTAATAGTCATTTCCATACAGTATAACAAAATTTATTACATTTACAGAAAATTTGACATTATTTATCGTGATAATATATAATATATAAGCAGCCCCTCTAGTTCTTTGTAATAATTTTTTTTGGTGATTTTTTTGCGATAAAAATGTAAAAAAAAAATCACAAAAACAATCGTGAAAAATTAGCGGCTCTGAAATGTATTAAACTATTAGAACCTAGAAAAGATTAATATTTACATTTAAAAAAAACATGTAAATGAAATACCATCAGCCTTTTGATTTTTTTATCCATTGGATTGTGTCCTCTAGGGTGATTACATTATATTAAAAACAAAGCAATAACGTCAGATGCAGCGGATTAATTTAATGGCACCAGATTAAACTTAACAATAAAACATTGAAAATAAATACAGGCTACGACTGAACATGAAAAATAGTCTCCGAGTGGAGGTCTCCAAAATTACACCGAGATTAAACTTGGGCCTATTAGTTTGTGTGCACCGTTGTATATTTTGAAGCACCGAAGCGGATAGTCAGAGTCGCGAGTCGCTGGCATTGTTGTTTTGTGCCATTGGTTTAAGTTAAATGTTGATTTCTTTTTCTCCCATCTGATCACAGGAAGATTTTACGCAACGAAGGTCCCGCTGCATTCCTGAAGGGGGCGTACTGTCGAGCGCTGGTCATCGCGCCGCTCTTCGGCATCGCTCAGGTGGTCTATTTCCTCGGCGTGGGTGAATTCATCTTGAGTCATCTACCCAAACGAAACAACTAACCAATCACACCCACTGCCTCCCATCATGCATTGCACCAGTCGGTTTCCCGCCCCTCCCCCGTCTCACAGAAGGATCAAAGCGTGGACCAGTCTGACTGATTTTAATCGTTGTTGTCGTGCCGTTTTTGTTCAAAGCGCCGTGTATTTTTATCTGAATGTGGTGGTTTTAATACTGAGCGTAAAGTGAGATTGTGTTTGCCAAGCTGCCTGTTTTATTTGTGTCTCGTCCCGTCTCACGCTGAGGCGAAGTGATATCCTTTTATGAGTGTTAAATCTCGAGCCATTATCCGATCATTGGGCATCTCACGACATTTAAAGCGTAAAATCAGCGATCAATCGTAACTCGTGCTCTTGTTAATTATGGACTAAAATATCAAGCTCTTTTTAATTGCTAATTTCCTGGAAGAACAGGGCATGTAATGTTGATTAGCTTGCCCTCTGTAGGGCGCTGTTTTTGTCTGTATTACGGCCAACTCCGAATGCCTTTCCTCTGGGCGTCGAATGACTTTGAGGAAAAGTGTGGAAAAGACACACATCCTTGAGTGTATTAAAGTCCAAAGTTTCTGACCTGAGAACAGCATATCGTTACGCCTTATCGAGGCTCGTGTTTCAAAATGACACGTCGGCTTCAGAGGTTAATTTGATTAATAAAGCTGAGGGGAGACGTATCAGTGAACTAAGATGTGAATTAGACTTGAAAGCATCTCTTAAATTGACTGAATCCAAATGCAAATGCCTGCAAGTAGTGGCCATTAAAACTTCCGGAAAGTTCCCACACTTTGGGAGATAATCATTACGGATTAAGAGATTGGTTCCGCATGGCCACAGTACATTTTTGGGCTCAAATCTGAATGAAAAATAACATTAAATATGAGATAAAACCTCATTTAAATCACTTTAATAGGGGGGTTTGAAGTTTAATTAAAAATTAGATATGCAAAGTAGATTTTTTGTTCCTTATTTAGGCTGGGACACGTATGTAATGTCATAGAGACTATGCTGTAGTTTCCAAAGCTAATCTAATGTGTAGGCGTTGTTATCTTTAAATAAATCTAATCTAAAACGTTGTCTATTTAAAAGGTTTATTTATATAATTATATATCAAATTAATAGAAAGTACATTAATATTTATAACTATCATGACTGTAAAATGAATATGCAAATTCAAACACAATTTTTTTTCAAAATATTCAAAACAAAAACAACAAATATGAAATAAAAGAGTTAAATACACTAAAACAATAACTCTGTAACTTATGTAATCTAATTAATATTCATGAGCATATCAGATGTGTTCATATTGTGTCCCACTCACTGAAAACCCAACTCAACTAGTTCAATTTTCCAATTAATATGCTAGCGTGAAAAAGTTTTCACCCCCTTTACATCTGTTTAAATAAAAGCTCATTTAAAATATTAAGAAAATAAAGCAAAACAATAACTGTATCTTAGATGCTTTCCCAACTATTATGTCACCTTATTAATATTCATGAGCATATCAGATGTGTTCATATTGTGTCCCACCCACTGAAAACCCAACTCAACTAGTTAAATATTCCAATTAATATGCGTGAAAAGGTTTTCACCCCCCACATCTGTTTAAATAAAAACTCATTTTAAATATTAAGAAAATAAAGCAAAACAGTAACTCTGTATCTTAGATGCTTACCCAAATATCATGTCACATAATTAATATTCATGAGCATATCAGATGTGTTCATATTGTGTCCCACCCACTGAAAACCCAAATCAACTAGTTAAATATTCCAATTAATATGCTAGCGTGAAAACGTTTTCACCCCCTCTCATCTGTTTAAATAAAAGCTCATTTAAAATTTTAAGAAAATAAAGCAAAACAATAACTGTATCTTAAGATGCTTTCCCAAAGACCATGTCACCTAATTAATATTCATCAGCAAATCAAATGCGTTTATATTGTGTCTCACCCACTGAAAACTCGACTCAACTAGTTAAATATTCCAATTAATATGCTAGCGTGAAAAAGTTTTCCCCCCTTAAGCAGTTTTGTCAGATAAAACTTAAAACGCCAAAGTAACAAGCATATCGATTGTAATGCCTGTCCTGTACATCTACGATGGGCGGAGCTACAGATCATGAATATTAATGCATTAGCTGTATCATTGTTTTCCTGACAGCTTTTTAATAGTCATTCCAATTTTATCAAGAAGCTAATAAGCACACGTTCCAGATTTTTGGGCCGAAGTCCGAATATTTATTGATAATCCTGATTATATCGACGTAAACACACTTATAGTATATCTCACTATATATTTGTATGGATAGTTTTATCAGTGTCTGATTGTTTGTGTGATCTTTGTTGATTACTGTGTACTGTATATATGCAGATGATATTACGAAGCGATTACGTTTTTTTTTTTAACGTTTTGTTATACGATGGCTTATTTGCACACCTCCCCGTTCCTTCTGTTTATGTTGTTGGCATCTGGAAGAGTTAATATGCCAGTTTACACACCGTTTGAGCCGGACCTGTGATGTATTAGTGTTGGAATTGTGAGCTTTTTTTGTGCACTACCAAACTTAACGAACAAAAACTCCCGAACGCTCTCAGGTCGTGGTTCTCATTTACTTTTTGTTTTTTGCTTCTCGCAGAGACGTTCGGATCGATTTGCAGCCTGTTGTGTAGAGTCAAAAGACAATGTTCTCGCTCACAATATGTGTTGTCGGCTGGAGCGAGATAAGCTGGTCTGTGTGTGCAATCAAGAGTGTTTTTGGCCCGTGCTGACAAACATTCGAATCTGTTTCATACTGCCAAACGATTCCTGACCAAAATTTCAGCCTCTAATACCTCTGTCCCCTTTCCCAGTTTTAGCCTCAGTACACTGACTTTTATAAACTCGTCTGGTTAATATTTACCTGCAACTGAATGTACACAACTAATCGAGCGTTTGAGGTTGGCATGTTTATTTAATTTGTTTGTTTTAATTTGTATTTTCCCCCCATCAAGAGTTGATCAAAAATGACCAAAAAATAATTTTATGGTTTAAATTTGATTATAATTTAAATTATAGTAAAAGAATATAATGGAAAACATCATTTTGGTTGTAATAATACCCTTTGGCAATGTCGAAAAGCCCCATAAAATATACTTTATTAGTCAAAATTAATCTAAAAGTGACCAAAAGGACTTTTAAAAAGAATAGAATGATTTCACAGTGATGCGCAGATTAAAGATGACAAGTTTCATATTTAAAATGTGTAAATAAAAATGTAGTCTAGATTATGGATTACTAATTGGATTACTTTTAGATTACTTTTTAATTTCTAGTTTTGGTTTTATGATTTGAATTTGATTACAGTTTAAGTTATAAAGCCAAAAGTAGAAAAAGAAAATGGAAAACACAGCAGATTCAAGATGACAAATTTCATGATAAAATTTGTAGTTAGTATTGCAATCTCGATTATTGATTACTAACTGGATTACTTTTAATTACTTTTGAGATTTGAATTTGGTTATAGTAATACTGTATATAGAAAAAGAAAATGGAAAGATAATTTAGATTTTAACAATACCTTTGGAAATATCGCCTAGCCTTATAATGTACTTTATCAGTCGAAAGTAATCTAAAAGTGACCAAAAAAGGTTATTTTACAGATTTTGGATTACTAATTGGATTTAGATTACTTTCTTATTTCTAGTTTGGGTTTTATGGTTTGAATTTGATTATAGTTTAAACTATAAAATCAAAAGTAGAAAAAGAAAACATGATTTTTAATGTAATAATACCTTCTGCAATATCGACTATCCTTATAATATACTTTATAAGTCAAAAGTAATCTAAAAGTTACCAAAAATGACTTTTAAAAAGAATAGGAAGACTTCACAGAGATGCGCAGATTAAAGATGACAAATTTCATGATCAAATTTGTAGTTAGCATTGCAATTTAGATTATTAATTAATAACTAGATTACTTTTTGATTACTTTTGATTTAAATCATTTCTAGTTTGGGTTTAGAAAAAGAAAATGGAAACATCAGTCAAAAGTAATCTGAAAGTAATCTAAAAGTGAACAAAAAAGGTCTTTAAAGATTATTTCACAGATTATGGATTACTAATTGGATTACTTTTAGATTACTTTCTCATTGCTAGTTTGTGTTTTATGATTTGAATTTGATTATAATTTAAATTATAAAGCCAAAAGTACAAAAAAATATGGCAAACATAATTTTGGTCATAATAATACCTTCGGCTATATTGTCAAGGCATATAAAATGTACTTAATCAGTCAAAAGTAATCTAAAAGTTACCAAAATTACTTTTAAAAAGAATAGAATGATTTCACAGTGATAGGCAGAATAAGATTACAAATTTTATGATAAAATGTGTATATAAAAATGCAGTCTAGATTATGGATTACTAATTGGATTACTTTCAGATTACTTTTTAATTTCTAGTTTTGGTTTTATGATTTGAATTTGAATACAGTTTAAATTATAAAACCAAAAGTAGAAAAAGAAAATGGAAAACATAATTTTGGTTTTAATAATCCCTTCCACAATATCGAATAGCCCTACAAAACATTATTTTTACTTTATTAGTCAAGAGTAATCTAAAAGTGACCCAAAAAAGGACTTTTAAAAAGAATAGAAAAATTTCACAATGATGGGTCGATTAAACTTTACAAATTAGATGATAAAATATGTAGTTACTATTGCAATTTAGATTATGGGTTACTAATTGGATTACTTTTAGATTACTTTTTCATTTCTAGTTTTGGTTTTATGATTTGACTTTGAATACAGTTTTAATTATAAAACCAAAAGTAGAAAAAACAAACAAAAAGCATCATTTAGATTGTAAGAATATCTTTGGCAATATCGCCTATGAAATATACTTTATTAGTCAAAAGTAATCTAAAGGTGATCTAAAAGTATTGAAATTAACGAATAAAGAATTAATTAATAAAAAATGAATAAAAAGCCTAATTTAACTATGCATCACAAGAATAAACCACATTTTTAGACATGATTATTTACAAAAACAGCAGTATTTAACTTTTTTCAAAACAAAAACATTACCAAAAATTTAACTAGCCTCAAACATTTGATGTCCGTGTACAGTCACAAGTCACTAATTAATATGACAACAACGCTAAATAACCATTATCTTGATGTTCAGAGGGTTTTATGGTGCTGTCCAACATCTCAAGAGAGCTTTACGCCATAAAAACTGTTCAGATGCTCTTATTTATTGTTTTTAAAGGTCAAAGGTAGGACTTTACAAGGTCAACACGTGTATAACCCTTATGACCGGTTACCTCACACACTATTTTTAACTGTCGAAATGAATGCACATGGTATTAAAATGGAAGTGCGTTTCATGCCTGCTTTGAATCGGACCTTAACGACCTTGTTTTGCCTTTTTGTGTTGGTTTTTACCTAAACATTCCAAATGCTATGACATATCTTAAGATCTGTGATTATTTTTATGATTGTGATGACTATTTTACCTTGTTTTGCTTTAATTTGTGATGGTTTAGTCTTGTTTAGATGGTCTTTTTCAACCGTACCTCTGATTTGCGTCATGTTTTCTCAGCTGTGAACTTGTGTTTGTGTATCGTGTGTGTGTATGAAGGGTCAGTTGTGCACACGGCTGTAAGTGCGTTTGTTTTTCGTCGTTTATGTAACACTAAAGTGTGTTTTTCACTCTCTCCTTCCACCATCTGTCCTCCTTCCCTTCGCTGTACTTTAAGGAATTAGACTGCAGGTGGCATTAAAAAACACACACCAAAAATAGACGATGATTTTTACAATCCAAGCACAAAAACAGATCTGGCACAAGCGCAATACACACACACTCCCCATAGATAGCGTATAATATTCAATATACAACACTTATTATGAGCAACGTATCGCCTGTTTGCTTCGGCAAACTTGAGAATGTATCTTTGAATCGTATAATTGATGTAAAATGATAGTATTTAGTCTTATTTAGTAGTAAATTAGATGTAAGGTATTTGTGATTTCACTCTTCATGCAATGAAGAGTAATATATATAGAAGGACCAGCACATATTTATGCAATAATTTAGAAATAATCCGAATAAAATGGGTGAATCTCATGAAAACATGTACATGCTATATTTCACTCTTTAAAAAAATTTACTAAATATTTGTAGTATTGTTAAGTATGATTAATATTTGCTTATTACTATTTTGATGACAGTTACTGTAATACAAACATTTAGCTAAATTTTCATGAATAATAAACTCCAAATATGTGATTATTATTTATTGATATTAATATTCAATGCATAATACCATCACATTATGACTGACTGTTAATACAGATTTATTGTCATATTAAACTTTTAAAACACAACACAAAATGGAATTACACGTTTTTTAAATAATTATTTTATTAAATCAATCAACAAAGATTTCTTTAATACCGTTTTTATTGCTTTTTTTGTCACTAAAATATTCTAATATTTTAAATACCCTATAAATAGTTTTTTTTTTTTTAAATAGGGTAATTTTTATGCTTCATTTTTTAAATGGAATAAAATATGTTTATTTATTATTATTTTTATGCTTTTATTTGAACCTTTAGATAATTAAAATACCCTAAAAGTGTTTATTATTATAATTTTCATGCTTTTATTTTTAGTGGAATAAAATACCCTAAAATATGTTTATTTTTTAACATTTTAATGCTTTTATTTGAACTTTTAGAGAATTAAAATACCCTAAAATATGTTTATTCATTTTAATTTTATGCTTTTATTTTTATTGGAATAAAATACCCTAAAATATGTTCATTTATTATAATGTTTATGCTTTTGTTCAAACTTTTAGAGGAATTAAATACCCTAAAATATGTTTTTTATTATTATAATTTTTATGCTTTTATTTTTAGTGATATAAAATACCCTAAAATATGTTCATTATTATAATTTTATGCTTTCGTTTTTTATCTTTAGGGGGATGAAACACGTTAAAAGAGGTTGATATATTATAATTGTTATGCTTTTATTTAGTTTGTTTTTAGTGAAATAAAATGCCCTAAAATATGTTTATTTATTATTTTAATTTCTATGCTTTTATTTTTATATTTTTTGTGGAATTAAATACTCTAAAAATGGGCGTATTATAATAATTTATGCTTTTATAATGTATATTTTTAGGGGTATGAAATATGGCCCAAACATGCTTTTTCTTGACATGTTTTCCTGAGTTTCACTCATATATTTTCCACGTGGTTCAATCATGCTGCTGTGGACCTGTAGACTAATAAATTGAACCTCGTCCCTCCACAAGCCTTTGCTTTCCTCCGCCGAGAGGAACAGTGCAATAACGCACTTTAACTGCATACACAAATACGCAAAATGCACAATAAGGCCCTTCTGGAAGATAACGCCAGTCTGTGTGTGTGTCTGTGTGTGTTTGGATGTGTGTGTTGTTGAAAGTTAGTGTGTGTTGTCAATACACAAACAATCACTTGAGTGATACTGAAATATGGCAGTTGTTTTAATCGTCGTTGCAGAAACCGAAGACACGCTGATCGTATTCAATTCCTTGTCACGGATTGTTGTTCAATAAAACGAATTTGTTCAAAATAAGTTATTGTCGTGCTATTATTAAACGACTTGGCAATATGATCTTTTAAACTACAGCTGTTGATTGTGATTGGCTGATGAGCATTCTGTTTTGTGTTTTAAAAAAAAAAGTAGTTCCGGCAGGTTTTGAGCAAATTATAGTTCCATATCACTACGCTGAATAATTTCAGTTATTTCACAGCTACGACTAAGGCAGCACTAGATGGCGCTTGCAGACTTTTTTTTAAGGGGTTTTCACCTTTATTTGACAGAAGAGAGAGTTGACAGGAAAGTGTGGGGAGCAGAGAGAGGGGAAGGATCGACATAGGACCTCGAGACGGGAATCGAACTCGGGTTGCCGTGAACACCGGAGTGCATGTGTTAGTGCACTTTCCACGACGCCATTAGCACCGATGCGCTTGCATACTTTAAACTTGTTTACTTCAGTAACTTGTTATTAGTTTAAGTATGATTTTAGATTTTTGATCATATGATAATGCTTATTGTTCGCTTTATCTATGGTTTATTTGAGCAAGTGGTATTCTTTCTAAAGGTTTTTAAACATATTTTAATTTAATTCCCATCTTGCCTAAAAAATGTCACTTCCAGGTTGGCCGCTTGCATGATAATCTAAGTGACGGCAAAATTTAAGGATGTTTCTTTTATGATTTTAAGTCATCCATTCAAGAAATCTAAGGATGTACCCCTCCCTCTCTTAGTTTACAAGCCGGCAGAGTGGTAAGTGAATGTATTTTAGTTCATTAATAACTATATGCTTAGTTCTCATGCATGTGAATGTGTCTGATTGTACCCATTTATTCAGTTCTACATTGTCGATAAGTGCATTAAACATCTGTGAAAAGGAACCTCAGCCTTTGTTCTGTGACTAAGGGCGGCATACAATGTGTGCATCCGCAATAATCGCATCGCAATGTGGAGTCAGGATTGTTGTTGACCAGGTAAAACTATAAAATAGTGAAGTCATTTCAGTTCAACCAACAAATTGAAAGTTTATCAGTGCTATGTAAGCATTTTAGTGAAGTTTATTTATAAACTAATTTAGAGAGGATCACGTGCTTATGTTTGCTGCATTATTTAATTCACGATTCACTAATCAGACGATTCCTAAGCCACTATAAATACTCTAAGCTCCATATAACAGCCATCTTAATTATGAAGAATCCCCCCTTCCACCTCTATTCTTCCTCCTTTCCTCGATGGGTGGCACGGTGGCCCAGTGGTTAGCACTGTTGCCTTACAGCAGGAACGTCACCGGTTCTAGTGCTTACCAAGCGAGCTGACGTTTCTGTTTAAACGTTCTCCCTGTGCTCACGTGGGTTTCCCCCGAGTTCCTGCCACTGTCCAAAAACATGCAACTTAAGTTAAATGACAAATCCAAATTGGCACCTTAGACATGCTCCTAGTAAGTCATCTCTTAAAAGCAATCACTATCTGTTCACTAGCTACTGCAGCAGGGGAGTTCTAGAGATCTATCTGAGCTCAAACTCCCCTCTCGCCTTGCAAATAGGAGGGAGCCCCGGGCTTGAGGATCTTATGAGCTCAGGGCTCTCTCCCAGAACAGCATGCCAAACAAGCTTTAGAATCAATCATCAACTAAGTGTGAACTCTTGAAAGCAAGTTTAACGCATTTGCGGAATTGTTAAATTTAGTAGCTTTAAGAAAAATTTATTTGGTTTAATTAGTTATAAAATGAAGACTATAAACTTTATTGTACATTCGAACACTTTACATCTTTACCTGAATACTGTTAGACTTCATTATTTATATTGTTGCTCTATTTATCTGTACTTGTAATTAGTTTATTCTATTTTCGACAGAAGCACTCCTCTACAAAATCATTCAAATCAATGTGTTCATTATTTTCAAATAGAGCTATTCAAGTTATTTGATGAAACACCCAAAAAAAAAAAAAAAAAAAAAACTGCAGAAAATAAAAATTGCAATGTACGTTTTTTTTTTTTTGCCAATATCAAGCAGCCCTAGCTACAGCGGTCAAAAAATCACATCAAAACACAACTGAAGGCTTTAAATGAGGTGTGTGAAATATAAGTGTTTCATATAGGAGTAGTTGAGGACAAAAAAGCTGACTGAAATACAACATCTGAACAGTAGTATAAGTGGAATTATTCACTCCAGTGTTGAATTATTACAATAAAAGACACACTTTATGTATAACAGCCACTCTGCTTCATCTCTTCACCATTTCGGGTGTCTGTTAACACTCATGATTTTAGGTATCAAGGTTTTTTTTGCTAATGTAGTTCTTTGTGATACATAAAATGCTAATCAAATGCTGCTAGCACTTTACGAGTTTAAACAACAACACACACACACAGGCAAAACAAAATTAATATCACCAGTGGCTCCTGACAATACACTGAGGTTTTATGAAGCATGTTAGTAGTTAGTAAGGTAATATTGTAAATAATGTTCAGTTTCATACACAGAGTGATTGTTTCACGACGTTTTGTTTTGCCTCAGCAATTTATCGGGGAACTAGGGATAGTAAACCCCACAATTAAAATTTAATCACTATTTATTAACCCAAAATAGTTTTAAACGTTTATTGTCCTTTATTTTAAACGTTTAGTTTTCTTTTCTGTTGAACACAAAAATATTTTGAAGAAACCTGAAGACCACTGACTAGTCAGTGGGTAAAATAAATACTATAGAAGCTAATAGTTTGCCATTTTTAAAAGAAAAAACAAAATTCCTTCAGAAGAAATTAAGTCAAAACGTTTTGGAATCACTTGAGGGTGAGTAAAAACTGAGTAAATGTTCATTTTTCAGTGAACCATCCTTTTCTTCACAACCCGTTTTCCCGCGTGTGGTGCGTGCAGTTCTCTTAGCGGCCGCTGGATGTCGCTGTGGCGCTGAACTTAATCATTGATTTATGCGGAAACGCCACTGAGATGAAATATGAACTACACGATTCTGTAAGACACACGAGTGCTGTAGCTCTTAATATGAGCCATTCATTCATTATACATCAACATGACTGAGGGCCACTCCTCCAAAACACACATGAATTTTTCAAGCAACTCCCCTGAGTTTATTTCTCTACTCGTTCAATAGCAGTGAGTGAAAAACATA